GCCTAGGCGGACATGGCAGAGGATAATGAAGGAGGTCATAAAGCGGATGACATTTGGGGGGAGCTGGTGTAGAGGAAGCCCGGACCATTCGCAAATTTGAAACAGCTCGGGGCACAGAGGAAAACGGAGGCCGAGTTTGAATTGGATTTCGAAGAATGTATAACAGTCCCTCGGGGGATGATCATATTTGTCGGAGGGAGAGGACCAATAGAACGACCAATCTCTAGGGTGGCCGATCTTCTCAGAAGTATACCAACTGTTGGAGAGAGAGGTAGAAGAAGGGCGTTTTGTGGAGGTTTTTCGGGGGTTTTTGGTCGAAGCTTTGTCGGGAGGAGAGTTTGAAGTACCAAGTTGGGAGGAAGAAGGCAGGATGGTCGAAGAGGGATGAGAAGTGGGCTGAGGAGAAATGACCTCGTCCATCTCTGGATCGTCTAACTCGCCAAGGGCAGGTCGACGACGGCGGAGAGGAATGTATCAATAGTATCCCCGGAGTTGGAAGAAGCAACGCAGGCTGTGAAAATACGGGTAGGAACAGTATCGCCGGGACGAAGAATTGAGAGAGGAACAGCCTCGAGCGCAGAAGGTAGTATTTGAACCGAATCAGATGAATTGGTCGAAGAAGGAGATGGAGGTGCAGGATCTGAAAAAAAGAAAAACAAAACTGAAGTCAAAAAAGGAAAAACTTTCGAGAAGGGTGGAGCTTCAAAAAATTAGGGTTCTGCGAGGAAGGCGATTTCGAAAAATTAAAGAGGAAATATAAGAATTTCGGGAGATTTTTGGAGAAGGAAGCAAAATTCACAGTGGGTAACAATCAAACAGGAGCACCCAACACACAAATTCAAAATACTCAATCGGCAAACTTCAGATACCCAATTCAAGAAATTAAAAATGCAAAATATTGGATACAGAAAACGTAAATTCAGGCGAGGAGCAACTTACTCATAATCGCAGATGAGAGAATTGGAAAAGCTTGAGAATTGCAAGAGGAATCGCCAGGAAAGCTAGGGTTTTGCAGAGAGGATTTTCAAATGCAAAGGATACGAGAGTTGCAGGGGTGGAAAAAGTCTAAAAATCCGCTAAGTATGGAATTTATACCTTGGAGAATTAAAAGGTTGAAAGATAAGAGTCGGCGGATTAAAGCTAGATCCTACGGTGGGGAGTATTAATTCACACGGAGTTCAAAATGGGCGCGCTAGACGATGGGGTGCAATAATTAAAGTACTTGACAGATGGGACGCGTGGCAAAAAAGTGGGTGCGACAGAAAGGACATTTGACAGGCGACATTATTTCTGGCAGTTAATGAGGAATCATTTGAAATAATGAGCAGGAAACTCATTAGGTGGTCGATATTTGACGGCTTGTTACCAAGGAAGGTGAGGAGCATGAGTTCACTCTTAGATCGAGTCATCTAGACTCGTCCAGAGTGGGGGGGACTAGATGATATAGGATATTATACCCACAAGGCTAAACCGGTCTGCCGACCGGTCGAGGAGGTCATACCGTGGGGAAGTCAAGGAAATCGAGCAGTTAACCAATCGACCAGCTAAACAGTCAACCAATCTATCCTTCGACCAAATAAACGGTCGAGCAGTTCAGTCGACCTTGATCGGTCGACCACTTCGCGGACTGAACACCTCATAGATCGGCCTGGTCACAGGCGCGTGTAAGAGCCTCTAACGGATTTCAGGAGAATATTCATCCCATGTGCAGGAGGACACGTGTCGAGAGAACATTGGTTGACAGTAACAACCACCTCTGACAGCTTACCCCATGTGCAGGAGGACACGCGTCCAAAGAATATTGGTGCAGGCGATAGTGGCGACGGCCACCTCTGACACACGCGTATTGTGTGTACGGACGGGCAATTAGTGAAGACAACTCACCAAATCCGGGCAGCCCTAGGTCAGGTATCTCACCCCTATATAAAGGGGGTGAGCCTTTCTTCTTCAACACGATCATTCTATTACTTACTCTTGAGAATTGATTGAATATACACTGACTTAAGCTTCGGAGGCTCTTCACCGGAAAACCCCTCCGGTGTGAGAGTTCTTTGTAGGTGCACGACGTTCAACCGGCGAGAAGGAAGGCGGTTATTCAAGTTCCAGCCGGTCGGGAAGTTTTGTGTTACCAGGTGCTGAGTTCCCTTAAGCTAGCACCCTATTTATAACCCATAGACGACTTAACTCCTATAATTTGTTGGAATATACTGTAGAAGCTCGACTTTGTGATTACTCCTAATTCCATTTCAAATGAGATGTATTTCTTTAGTCAAATTGATGTTAGTAGTTTATTTATTTATGTGAACATAGTTTTTTTATTTTACATTGTAGATAATGTGATTCTTTGTGCCGAATAGAAAGATCACATTATTGGTGCCTTGTAAAATATAAATAATAATTCACGGTCTAGACAGAATTGAACAATCTGTTGATAAAAGATTGTAGTGTGATTTCGATTCAGTTGAATTTTTACTAATGAATTACACTAGTACTTTGTAAGTATTGAATGGACTTACAGAGGAGAAGATTATTTGAATACTGACCAAGTAAAATAACTAAACCTCAGTAATTACTTCATTCTCTTACTCCGTAAGACAATAAATGGGCACATGTATTGATACTTATTTATTTAATTTACTATGGTTGAGACTTATTTTATTGGTTCGACATACTCTATATTTTGGTAAATATTGTCGAAACGGGCATATGTATTCGGTACATATTTATTTAATTTACTATGTGTGAGACTTATTTTATTAAGACGACATACTCTGTATTTTGGTAAGTAATGTAGAGTGCAGGATGTGCCGATAAGATTGTTTACGATCATCGTGTCTCGGTCCGCTGGGTTGATGACGTCCTCAAAATGAGCTCAAGAAGGATTATTATGTCAAGCCCGACCAGCAGATTAGTTTTTGACATAATAGATAATGAATTGAGTGGTACTATTTTATGATCCAAGAGATAAAAAAAAAAATGATTAATTATATTGTCAGTAATTAAATTAATCAATAGACGTTATACCTTAAATATGTGAGATAAATCGAGCAATTAGTCAATAGACGAGTTGGGATACAAAGTAATTGTAATTCAGAGCTAAATGAGGAGATCAATAATATTACTCTAGTTGAATATTTTATTATTCATCTAAATAAATAATGAATACGAATTAAATTATCTTCTACAATTTTCCTAAGTAGAAGGATTGAATGTCTTCTAGAATATTACTAAGTTGGAAGACATGAAGTCTTCTAGAAGGGTAATTAAGTTGGATGGCATTAGGACTTCTAGAGGTTAATAAGTTGGAAGATATAAGGATTCCTAAAGAAGCTCATATTTAGAACCTCCTTAAGGTCCCTATTGTTGCCTATAAATACATCAAGTTCCCTAGCCTCAAGAGTTGATATTCTTCTAATTATTCCACACGTGCATGGCTGATCATACACGCATATTTTTTGTGAGAAAAAATAGAGTTCTTCGAGGGCAAATTCAAATAAAATCGAGCTTAAGAACGAAAAATGAGAGGCTTCGGGAAGTCCAATTAATCGTTCCACTAAGATTTATTGGAGATCATGTAAGGTCATACAATAGAAGATTCATGGTTATGTAATCGTATCCCGTCGAATATATTCATCCCCGTAATGTTTTTGTAATTCACGGAGTTGTTCGAAAGTTGTTCGATGTCCACCAAACTTGGCGAGGATGATCACCGACAAAAAACGCACGTGGCGGTGTCACCAGCGCACCAATCGGAGCTCAAACGATGTACGACGACAAGGTCGAAATCCACCAGTCGAGCCTAGGTCCAGCCGCGCACCAGGCGTCTTTCACGAAGCCCGCCGAGGCAGTCCAGCGCTCAGCATGTTCCAAGGTATCCAGCATCGCGCCGCCCAGTGATGGTGCAGTTCAGTCAAAGAGAGAGTGAGGCCCAACAGAAACGAGTGACCCACATCGCATGAGGCCCACATCGAGTAGCCCAACAAGGGAAGAAGGATAAACACGCGGGCCGCTTCTAGCCCGCGCGGCCCGCGTCTTTCTCAGAGCTCAGACCGCGAGCGGCCAGGTTTCAGTCCGCGTCTTTTCAGTCCTGAAGGAGCGAGCCGCCCAGATGTCCCTCAGCTCGGCCCATCAGCTCCAGCACAGCCCAGAAGCTTCCCAGCATGGCCCAGCGACGTGGAAAGCGATCCAGCTCGAGACTAGCAAAGACCAGTCAGCCCAGGATGTGACCAGCAGGCCCAGACCCGGTCCAGCAGGTCAGAAGTCCCAGTTCGAGTTCAAGGTGGTTCTCGAGCGGTCCAACTAACCCACCGAAGGTTCAAGACGGTCCGACGAGCCCGACGAGCAACTGGAGACGCGATGACGAGGCCAAGTCCTGCTGCTCAAGGGACTCCGAGATTTAAACAATATCTAACAATGGAAATCAGTAACGTCTCAGAGTCGGCAAAAGATTTTAAATTGTAAGTCCTAATCTTAATTTTTAACTACAGATTCGTTGCATTATGATTTATTTTTAATAGATTCGAATGTGCACATAACCGATATTCTTAATAGAACCCCACACCATTCACCCTAGAGAGGAATACAAAGAAGACCAGCAAAGCAATAAGAAGTAAAACAGTATTAAACAGGCAAAGCAATTAAATACATCATCATTACCACCACTACTTATAGAAGTTCATAATACAAGAGTGGCTTTTGATGGTTTGAGGCTTTTGATGCCCTAAGGCAGCACCTATACTCATCCAAGGATACCTAAAGCTGAAAAATAACCATAAGATGTGAACTTTACAAGTGGATTAACAACGAAACATCCTTCACTTTACTGTCTTCTCTGACATAGAGTAAGGCTTTCTAGACCTCTTGAAATCCACACCTACTATGTTTGATCTAACGAGCCATCCATAAACAAATTTACCAAGACAAGCATATCTGCTCACCAAAGTAACTTGGACTGCAATCTAGTTTAATAAATTTCTCCACCTCGGCTGTTTCGTCTGATGTTAGAATGAACTTGTTCTTCGGAGTTGGTATCTCTTTTCAGAAAATTCACACGACATCATCTTCTCGAATTTCTGCAAAGAACAAAAACCGTCGTTTCTTAAGGAAGGAAAAGGATTGCTGTCTAACTTGAAACCTTTAAGTTATTGCAATGCTAAAATCGCATCAACGAAACGCTGGCTGCGTAAAGATGCACGCTAAGCCGTACTTGATACCTTTCTTTTTGGTAAATATTGACCATCTAAATATAAGATTCTCCCAGGAAGAAAGAATTTTCCCTGATAGTCATAACTTCATGTATATGAGAATTAAAAACAAGTAACAACACCAAGCAGTCGTTCTACCTAGCAATACTATCACAAAACTAGCACCAAATAGGTGGAAAATCACTTAATCAAAACAATATTAGTTACTTTATATGATCGAGATTGTTGCGAGCACATTTCAAATCTGTAAAGAAATATTCAACTATCCTTTATTCCGGGCATTTTCTCATCGCACTCAATGAAAGTACAAACATTAATGTGCCCCAAGATTTAATCCATATGAGCTGCTATCGAATCACAAGGATAATCCACAACATGTTACTTTTAATGTCAATAGGATTCTATCTTGCTCCGGGATTCTTAAACAAGACATGTCAACCGTAAAGTACACATAATGCCAACAAAAGCAATGCATTTTGAAAAATAAAGGATATACTTTTTCCTTTCTTTCCTTAATGGAACAGAATTTGCACATAATTATTCAATGGTTGTTTAACCATATACGGAAACTAAAGTCATGTTGCACTGGCATAGGCCTAAGATATGAGCCTTTATTCCTCCTTCAGAGTTTGACAGACTTTGCTAACCAATATACTGCAGCGAGATAGCACAGACAAGAAAATCACGAAAAAAGTTTGTTCACTGTAATACTAACGATTCTACTATCAAAATCAAGAAAAACTGAAGTAGAGTGTTGACAGAGGGTTAAAGTTTTAAACCTAACTATGGCTAATTGCCTAATGTACAAAAACAACTAAAGAGGCGAAGCTAACTTTCAGGATTTTATAAGGAAGTGAAAATACTTATCAGAAGAGCATAATGCAAAAACCCTCACCAGTTCACAAAAATTGGAGCAAACATGGGTCGAGAAAAAAAAAAAAAAAAAAAAAAAAAAAAAAAAAAAAAAAAAAAAAAAAAAAGATGAAATAGTAATACCCAGTTGCTTGTATGAAGATAATGCTCAGTTTCAGAAATAGAATATACATTCAAACAGTTTCCAGTTAAATGACTAGCGAAAAAAATTTCACTGATACATGAGACAACTAAAAAATGTTTCATTGACTTTCAAAGGCAGTAATCTCAATAATGAGCTAAAGAGTAAACTAAGGGAAGGCAATACAAGACATTAATCAAGCAAGTCAACAAGTTGGACAAGATATGCTAGTTTAAGATCATGAATCGTGAGAGGGACCATCATAAATCATCAATACATTAATTATATGATACATGAACACTTCTTAAAAATCTTTGATCCCAAATTTGATACTCAAAATTAATGTTCTTAAACTTTTGTTTTAAAGAGAAAATAATGTCAAGCTTGACAAAATCTGGTAACAGAGAATAATTAAGCTTCACTGCGGAATTGGCATTGTAGGATGAGAATTCAGTGTTGTGCCCAAAATTAATTGTAAATACAATATACAATTACATCCAATTCCACAGTTTTCTGCTCAAACATGGACTATATAATCTTCATAATTCATGAACTAAACTTCATTGTGGGATTTGTCCACAAAATTGGTGGGGGAGTTTCGCCAAATGAAAGTCTCATCGATGTATGAAGTGAGTTTATACATTAACGAGAACATTAGCAACGTAGATCAGAGATAAGACAATATTATGATGAAAGCAGGCCACTCATTTAGCTTTTAAATCACTTGCACCAAGAAAATATGCCATTAAAATGTCAAGTTTACATTAGAACATGGCAAAGAAAGATACAGTGCCTCCAGCGACTAAAGCGTATGCACCGACTAAGCACATTTCATCTACAAACCTTTCATGTTATTTGAGCTACAAGTTAATTCATACAAATCAAATGTGAACTTTCTGTATCATATGTGTTCCACAGTCGAAGGCATGAATTTGTCAAAGGTTTCAGAGGACACAAGAAGTAAATGCATGCAGCATTCCCCTTGAATATTCCCAGGTAAATTAGCATGTCCTGTAGACATGAGACCTTTCTTTTCTTCAAGGTGGTCAACAATCCCAAATTATTTTCATAAGTCCAAACAAAAAGACTTGCCAAACAAATTTAACCCTGTAAAATAATTACTGTACAATATACTCTGTACACAATCCTGACACCATTAATCCAAGGGATTAACTGCTTTTCTGGCCACTAACAACGGCAATACGCAAGCTCGTCGTAATCAGTTTCATTACAACACATGCCAACAAAAGTCGCATCAACATAAATATAATCACCACGACACCACGTGGATGCACATATGAGAGAAACATAACATAAAATATCACTCGCCTGTTCCTTTTTCAGTTTCGAATTCTCCTCCTCAAGATGTGCGACCTTTGTCACCAACTCATTGTGGTAGGCCTGTATATAACAACACCACATAATAGATTCTCAAATTCATAAATGCCCAAAAGAAAGCAATTCTCAAATACCCAAAAAAATATTGAATTAAAAAAAATAAGTAAAAGGAAGAGCCGAAGATGGAAACAGGGAATATTCAAATCCTACCTGCTTTCTCGCACGTGAACGAGCGGCCGACTCCCGATTCTTAATCTTCCGCTTTAGTCGCCTCTCGATCGCCTTCTCAAGGTTCCCAAGGGTACTTTTCCTTGACGAGATTGGTGTATCAGATAACTCGTCGATTGAGGGAGAAGGAGACAACAAACCCGTTTGGGATGAGAACTTGTGGGCCCTAAGCGCACTATCCAACGACAGAATGGGCTCGATCGAGGCACTTGATACGTACGTGCCCGCTTTCACCAGAAAATCCTCCAGGGTTGTCTCACCAAGAGTCGACTCTCTTTCCCAACTAGATTCGCCACCCCTGATTTTACAACCTGTCTGTATGTCCCTCCACACTTGGTCGACCGTTTTTCCAGTGAGAGTCATCGCGAGTGACCAGCTAGCCTGCTGCTGGATGGAGACAGCAGCATTGTCATTTCTGGTCCATACTCTCTTGAGGAGCTCATCGAGGTTCATACTGCCGAGTGGCTTGGTAAGGCTGCTGCCTAATTGGTTTTCGACTTCTCTTAGTGTGAGGCCTAACCATGAGCTGTGGCGTGGAAGTGGATGATGCACGTGAGATTGCTGCCTAGTAGCGTTTAAGTGGGAATCCATTGTGTGAATCCCCATTCACTGTTTAGCTTACAGCTTATGTAAACCTGCAAAAGAAGGCACAAATCAAAGCTTTAGTCATCTATGCAATCTGTGGAAATTCATTTCAATAAAAACAAGAAAAAATGTTCATATGTAGAATATACAGTAACCCATCAAATAACTGTAAAGGAAACAAATATATGTACATATTCAACAAGGAGACCACAACATCTCTCTCTCTCTCTCTCTCTCTCTCTCTCTCTCTCTCTCTCTCTCTCTCACACACACACACACACACACACACACACACACACACACACACACACACACACACGGGGGCACAAGGGAAGAACAAAAGATTCAATTTTTACCCAAAAGAAAAAGAAAGAAAACAGGAATTCTTGAAAAGGAAAAAAATTATGAGCAAACAAACTATTTCCAGTTATCCATGTTTAAAGTCCCAACAAAGAAAAAATCCAGAGGAAGACTAACAATCAGACGACGGCAAAGATCTAGTAAATGAACTAACTATTTGCAGATTAAAAATAAACAAAACAAAAAAAAAGGGTTCAATTATCTGGCAGCAAAGGAGGAGGATCTGAGCCCTTACACAAGATACTGTGGAGTGGAAAATCAGATGAAAAAAAAAAACCTTGAAATTGTTGTGGCCCTGTTGGGGTGATCCACGTGTGCGTGTGCCTGAGGTTTCTTTTTCAGGGTAATCGATGGTTTGGGGGTTGAGTTGTCGGATTTTCTTTCGGATTTGGAAGAGAACGGAGAAATTTGTTAAATTATGATATGAAAGTAAAATAAAGAGGGAGTTGTCGTTGGAATTGGAATTACAAGAGGCGAGTTTTGGTCCATTAAGCACGGCCCATTTGTACAAATTGGGTTGGAGATAAATATTTACAAATGGGCATATAGCGAAATTATGTGCTATACCATTTAAAATTTAAGGAAGAAAATTATTAGTAGGTAATTGTATGTTTTAATTTAGGCGAAGTTACATGCCTACGTAGCCTAAAGATAAATATCTGCATAGATATACAATACAATCTTGTGAAATATTTGCACCCAGCCCAACAGGGCTGATGCCTGTTCGCTCCGCTCCGCTTGCTTCGCTCGGTCGCTCCGCTCGCTCCGCTACGCTCGCAGGCATCAACCTGCCTCCTTCCTTTGTCAATATATGAGCCATACCAACAATACTAAAACTCAAATTGCACAAAGAATTAGCTTGCGGAAAATAGGGAATCTGATTTTAAATTCCAAAAAAGGTCGATCGGGACCACTAGAAGAGAGTTTCGTCGTTTTGAATTTTTCGGTATCATCCACCCGCCGGATAATTATTTACATACGGGTGCAAAATAGAAGAAGGCACGGAAGAGGTGAGGCACTCATCATAATCGATTGCAAAAAAATTATATAATATGTTT